ATAAAAATGATGATATCATATTACTCTTTTAACACCTTTGAATTACATTCCTACCACTGTAAAACGTTAAGCGATGTGAAAAATAAATAAAAAATAACAAAAAAAACTTTTTCAATAAAAGCTGAATTAGATGAAAAATATTATATCATCCAAGTCTTTTTTGGAAAAATATTTTTCTAACACCTTTTGTTTTAAGATCGTAAAAACATAACACAAAGAAGGAAAGAAAGAAAAAGAATAAACGAGACATTTTTCCGGTGAGTATCAAATGCATGGGGTAATGGTAAGTTAAAATCCGTTCGATCATTTTATATACTTTAGCTTAAAAGTTATTTTTAAATTTATTTTTAAAAGAAATGAATTTATTATTGAGTCTTGAGATCTTGAATATCACACGAGAAAGAACTAACTCTTTTTTTTTTTTCTAAAAGTTTTGTTTAGGTTTGCTCCCATTTTTTTAAATACTCTCATTTTAATAGTTTTCCTAATAATTGTGTTTGATTCAGCTTCTATATTTAAAAAGAAAATAATTTCTAAAAAATGAGCCAAACACTAATACTTTGTGCCTGTTAGGATTATTTTATTTTAAAATATATTTAATATATTCATAACTTAAAAAGTTATCATATCCATTATATTGGAGAATTTATAATTATTATAGATTTTAATATTTTTGATAGAGTTGTCAAAATGGACTTGGTCTGATAAGCCAACCCATTTAACTCACTAAATTTAGCATGCTAGATTAAGTAGTTTAGACTCAATGGCCCGTTTAGCTCATCTCTTTTAATCCGTTAAAATGCGAGTTAATAGTGAGCTGAAACGAATTGATCTGGCGAGTCAATTTTTTTATTTTAAAAATTTTAAAAATAATTTTTTATTAATATAAAAATATTTTTAAATATTTTTTATTATTTATTATAATTTTTTTGTTACTTTTTAGTAAACTGATTCATTAATTAAATGACCTACTGATTTTTTTAAAATTATTTTTATTTTTTGATTTTTTTGAACTAGTCCATTAGTTTAACAGTGTACTCATAAATGAGCCAGGTTAAAAAATTTAGTCTATTTTTTAAATGGGACAGACTCAAACTAGTTCATATTTAGACGGGTTAGGACAAACTGATTTGTTTTTTTATCCCTAATTCTTGAAAAGTTCAACTTTGATGAGAAAGAGTGGGAACAAATCTATCTTTTTGTAATTGCTTAGGTTTTTAAAAGAAGTATTTTAAGCATCTATTAACATAATTTTGATAGTAATCCTTTGATATTAAAAAAATCAATCCAAATTAGTACATATGTATCATTTTATACAACCTATATTCTAATCATAATTTTAAATCGTGGTTGACAGCAACTACCATTGAAGCGTAGTTCATTTGTAATTACATAATCGCACACGTTCATGAAAATGAAAAATGTTGTCCAGCACGATTTAGATATCAGGCTTAACATATTTTTTTAATATTAAGAAATTTTTATGCGAGACTTTAATAATTTTTATAAATAATAAAAAATATGTTAAAATCATATAATATTATTTTAAAATTGGTAAAAAATGTAATTAATGATTATTGGCCGTGGATATTTATAACAACGGGTATGTGCAGATAGGAAAAGATAACTTGTAACACAAGCACAGTGCATTCTCGAAGTCGTTTTGAAGAAATTTCAAAACAATGGAACGAGAAGTTAGCAAATTTGTTTGGAAGCAGGGTTGACAAGACACGTAACCTCACTTTCTCTACTTACTCTCACTAGCAGACAAGCTCTACACAAAGCCATCTCAAACACTAATAGAAGTGAAAAAGAAGCTTGTTCGACATTAATAAGGTGAATTAGAATATCTCAAATTCAAGTTTAATTAATGAAAAAATGTATTTATATTTAACTCGTTCATTTAAATTTAAATTTCGAGTTTGCTTTGCTTTGATTTAAAATTTGAATTTGATTCATTAATTTATTACTAATAGGCTTTGGATAAAGTTTTATTTATTATTTTTATATTTAATAAGCATTGTTATGTTAAAAAATAAATTAACGTAATAATAAAATATAATTTTATCTAAAAAATATTTTTAATGTTATAAATTAATTTTTATTAAAAAAATTAAATATTTATAATAAAATATTAAAAATATTTATTTAAAATATAACTCTTAAAATTTAAAAATTAAAATAACGGTGGGGGCTATCTGAAAATTATTTTTCATTCAGAGACTTAATTATAAAATTTTTGTATTGAGATCAAATCAAAATGATACTTTTTATATAAAGACTTAAAAAGCATTTAAATCAAAAATTATTATAATTTATTTAAAATACAATTCTTAAAATTTAAAATTATGTAAATATTATGAATATACGATGATAACTATTAAAATTATAATGTTTAAATAAATATAATAAATAAAATTATATTATATTATATTCTTAGTATTTGTTTGAGCAATATGATATAATGATTTATTTTATTATTATTATGATATCCTATTTTGACAGTTTAAATTCTTACTGAGAGTGTAATGAATTAGTACTGTTTGATTTCCAGAAATGTTATATATTTTTATTTTATATACAAAATTATCTTATTGTTTTCATTATGTTTTTGTTTTCTAATATTTGTATAGGAAACATTAAAAACAAAATCAATTAAAAAATTAAAATATAAAAATATAAAATAAAACAACCTCCCGTTGAAATATGATAATTTTTTTCTTCTTACTCATATTTTTTAAAATATTTTATAAAAATAATAATTTAATAAATATGATTATAATTTTTATAAAAAAATTATAAATACATTATTAACAAATATATATTTTATATGAAACAATAATTTACTCATTTTTAAATATAATTTAAATTATTTTATAATTTATTTTTTCAATTACAATACATTACAAAAATAAATTTAATTGTAAAAAAGTCAAGAAAATATTATAATATAATATCAAAATATAATACAAAATGGTTTTTAAATTTTAAAAAAGTTAACTTATATTTTTCCAAAAATAAAATGTTAAATTATTTTTTATAATAATTATATTAATTTTGATCAAAGAATAATTTTATTATTTAAATTTATTATTATTTAAATTAAAAAAACTACAAAATATTATGTGCTTTATTATTCCGACGTACATCAAATATAAGATAGTGTAAAACTTTTATATTCTTTTGTTTTATCTCATCTTTATTCAATTCTTTTGTCTTTTTACTTTTAATGTGTCACCAAACAAGTCCAATATGAAGTTTACAAAATTTCAAGTGATTTGAAAAACAAACATTAATTAAGAGTTAATTTTAAATATTTCACAAAAATCTCAATTTATTTACATCTCAACGAACCTCTTGGTGTCTAATTAATAGTTAGTTTTTATTTGGTAATTTCAAAGGAACAATATCAACAAAATTCTAAAGATAAAAGTGAAAATAAATTGGAATAAATTAGGCTTACTTTGACGTCAATACAGTGATTACTTTTTAAATATTTTATAATGCTTGTTGGTTGTGTCTTACAGGTAGGTTAGATAATGGATTCAAAAACCTAACTAATATAAACACAACAAATATATATTTCAAATTATTATTAATAAATTTAAATATTTTTAAAATGGTTTAGTTTGACCTTATTAATTAATTTTTTTCAAAAAAATTGACTAAATGTTAACTTCTGCTTTTAAGAAATCGAAAGTAAAGAAAAATAAAAATTTGGGAGAGTGGCAAAATATTTATTTTTGTAATTTTTAATGTATATTGATATTACAGTATTTTATTTATTTATTGTACTTTAATTTTTTGAAATTTATGTCCAAAAATGACATAATAAAAAATGATTTTAAATAATAATTTTTAGTAAAAACTAACCACATTTAAGGACTTTTTTTATATATTATTTTTTTATTTAAAATTCAAAAAAATGAGATTTTTAACAAAAATTATGTAAATATGATTTCTTTTAAAAATCGTCGTTAACTTTCAACTAAAAACGGCTAACGCCAACTTTTACTTTTGATATACTTTTTTAATATTTAATTATTTTTTTAAAATATTATTATTAACGATTTTTAATTTTTTTTAATTTTAATGTTTTTTTAAAAAATTGTCAACAGAGAGTTTTGAAAATTTATTATTTTTCTGATTTTTTATTTTTGAATTTTTGTGCTACACCAAAAATTGCCATTAGCTATTTTTAAACTCTATGTCTATGTAAGTTTGCAAAAAAATTCACATTTTTTGAATTTTGAAAAAAAAAACCCATAAAAAAAGGAGTCCAACATTTAATGATATTAAATTATTAAATCAGATAATTTATATGTAAAATTTATTATATATTAATTGTACTGTATAAATAAATGTAATTTGTACAGGCCTAACACAGTGTAGACGATAGATTTCTAGGGAGCATATCTATTCCTACCTCTACAGAGGATTATGGAATGAACTCTCTTCCAGCTGCAGCCAATTCCTCGGTAGATAATTATCAAAATCTTCTTTCTCTTGTGGGATGCACTGATTTCTCGTCTAGTTATCATGGCACAATTTGGATAAATTTCTTTATAAATACTTATAAAAAGTAAAAAATTAATGTTTTATTTAGGTGAATTTGTGAATAAGCGCATGTAATATAGTTGTACTCAAGTTTTATAGTATTGTTATACAACTGAACTATCATACGATAATGAAGGTTAAACTTTAACGAAATAATTAAAAAAATTAAAAGTGAAAGAAATAAAAATGTTAATATGGATGAGTAATAATCCAAAAAAGAACATAATAATAAGAAAGAACTGCAATACACAAAAATATTGGAGTTTGATAGAGAACATAAGTTTTATATAAGAAGGATGAATGATAAAAGAAACACAATATTTATTTCATAAAGAACATATTGTCACACTAGTTTACACAGCGATGCAAAGAAGGAAGTATAAGTGAGTGCATGCATAGCATGCACATCTTTATTCCTTTATCAAAGCCAAAACGATGAGAGGAGACACTACTATCACACTATTACATGAAAAATAACATTAAATGCCTTTATTTCAAGGGCCAAGATAGGACTTTATAAAATCACATTTCACAAGAGTGTTCTCTATATTAGTTTCTCGAAGGGGGGTGCTTCTTCCATGGTTTATGGGGGGGCTTGTAATGGCTATCCTCAACCTTAGTGTGCTCTTCTTGTGGCTGCTTGTTTTCTACTTTTGCAGGATCATTATGCGTGGCAGGTGGATGGTGAGGGTGGTGATGATGATGGTATGTATCCATCACAGAGGCTTTCTCCATTGAAAGTAAACGACGATCTTGGAGATTAGCAAAGGAAGTTGAGGCCATAAGGACCATCCCTAGTATTCCTATAAGGCATAGGGACCTGTATTTGGGAGACATTTTGGCTCTTTGGTTTCCAATGTTCTAATGATGGTGCAAATACACGAGCAATATCATAGTCATTTTATAGTGTCGTTGAACCAATCTTCTAAAGACAAGTGTCATTTTTAATGCATTGTTGGTGGTGCATTTCAATCAAGGTTAATATATAGATTTTCTTGTTTGACTAGTGATTCATATAATGAAGCTAGGATAAGATTAACACATATTACACTCAATGATCGGTTTGCAAAAGCTGGACCCATTCCTCCAATTTTGTCCTTGGCTTAAGGTATTAAGTGTAGTGTCGTTAGGATATATGAATGCCAAAGTAGTTTTCTGGGCTGTCACTGCTTATTACTCTTCATTCTAGAAATTGAATCCCAAATAGTGTTTCTTTTTTTAAAAATTATTTTGAGTTATAATTTTTTATGACAAAATTCTATTACAATATTTTTTTTATCTTTTTATTATATTCTTCATATATTTTTAATTTCTTTTATTTTCTTTTTTAATTTATCTTTTTTAATACACACACAGATATTGTAATTTATACTAACATGATGTTTATTATAATATATGAAAAGCTAAAATGTGGGTTTTGAAGTTGCTTTTTCAATTTCCCTCATCTTTTACTTTTAGGGCACGTAGGTAAAATTTATATATTTTTCACTTTTCCCTTTTTTTTTTCTTTTCTAATATATTCACTTTTACTATTCTCCATGTCAATCTTAACAGTTTTTTTAATGACTATTACTTTCTTTTTAAATCACTTCTGAATTCTCTTTTTAACTTTCTTTTCACCTTTCTTAATAACGTAATTATTATGTATTACTATACCGACGCTTTCTATTAAAAGTAACCAAATTAAAAGAATCACTCAAATTTTTATTTTATGTTTAAGTGTTAATAAAGTTTAAAAATACAGATAATTTTATAATTTTTTTTTCTATACTAAGTCAGCTATATTTTATTTTTTCAATATGTTTAAGGTAAAAGTGATTTAACAAATATTTATTACTTTAGACAATTTTAAATTTGTCCCTTCCTCATTAATGCCATTGTCATATAACATCATAGGATAATTTTAGTGTGTTATCAAGTTGACAAATATAAAAATGACCAAATTATTATAACTTAACGAATACATGTTTACAAATTTAAAGATCATGATCTTTCATTTATCATTGTACTATGTTACGCGCGCATGTGTGTAAACCTGTGTATTGTCTTGAATTCTATAAATTTTATAAGTAAAACAAGCAATAAATATTCAACAATTTTTAAAATTGTTTAATTTCGAGATACAAAATTGACAGAACAAAAGAAATCAGGAAATACAACTAAATTATAAACTGATGGCCAGACAATTATATATGTGACTGTTATGATAATATCTTTTTATAATAAAAAATAATATTATTAATATGATTTCCAATTTATAAATCTAATATTTAATCAAAATAATTACATTAATTTTTTAATGTATGCTCAAATATACATTATAAAATTTATATATAATAAATTTTATTAGAAATTATATAATATTACTGAATTCAATACATTAATAACACTTAATATTATAACTTTTAATAAAAATTTATTATTTATTACTTTTTTATCATATGTCCTAAAATACGCATTAAAAATATTTATATTAATTTTAAATTTAATTATAGTTTTTATTCTCATAAAAATTTAATCATATGCCTTCCATTATATTATATTAGGCGATGAGTTGCATGTTATATATATATATATATATATATTTTAAATTTTATTTATTTAAAAATTTATATTTACAACAAAATTTCTAAAAAATTATGTTATTTTAAAAAATTAATAATTAGTCTATTTTTTTAAGGCCTCTCTCTCTCTCTCTCAAACAGCCCTTTGCCATCTTGAAACATTCCATGTTCCAGGAAAGCTTTCAGCATTAAGAATTGCTGGCATCAAGCTAGTGTATGTCATCAGTACAAGTGGTTTATTTGCAACCTTACATATCTTGTCTATCCGTCAAAAGATGAGTAATACCTTTGATAATCGAGCCTTTTAAAGTGCATAAATATCCTTCTATACTAGATAAGGAACAACTTGGTTCTACTCGTAGAAAAAAAAAATCTGAGTACTTATTCGCCTTAATTTGACTGAATATCTTTTATCAAGATTAAAAGGTAATTAACTCAATTAAGGGTAATAATTAACATATTATTTATTTTAAATAAAAAGCTAAAAATCAAGACTGGCTTAGCAGGCCTATTAGCTCATTACAATAGTTATATAAGGAAAGTAAAAGTACAGATAAATGATTGACTTTTCATTATAAAATAATATTTATTCCTTAACACCATATCTTGACTTCAGTATCGGAGTGCCTTTTGCAAATACCCTCCCCACGTCAGCGACAGTCAGAAGAACGTTATCACTTCGGAGTAGAGACTTGAAGACTAATGTTTCTCTAGCAGGAACATATACTAAAATTAACTTATTTTTATAGTCATCGGTACGACATAAATTGACTTGTTAGTGCATTGTAAATGCATAAAGGATCTTCTCCATTAGTTAATCTTCTATGCACTTTTTAACATTGCATAGTTAGTGCATAAAAGATTTTTTACATTGGTTAATAATTAACTGATCTAGTAACATTTTTAAAAAAAATAAAAGCTTTTTAATATTAATTGTTAAAATAATTAATGCAAAATATACTTTTTTATCAGTTTAGTTTGAATAAATATAAAAATTTACTTTTACATAAGTTTAAATTTAAATAAATATAAAATTTATACATTTTTAGATGATTTAATTTTTTAATAATAAAAAATATACCAATTAAATATTAATTAATATTAGACAAACACCTATAATATATATATATATATATATATATATATATAATCAATGGGCAAAACATTAAAATTTAGCAATTTTTTGGTAAAATCTCCTTTAGTTATTTAGTTAAATATATTTCAAAAAAGTTATATAAAATAGACTTATAATTTGTATAAATTAGAGTTTTGTAAAAAAAAAGTTTATACTTCTTTAAAATTTATGACTATAAAAATTAGAATTGTAAATTTTTTTATATCAATTACTAAATAATAGATGTAAAAAATACTTTTTATATTATATCTTTCATAATTAACGTAAAAAATAATTTAATTTAACTTTTTAGATCAGTTTTTTTTAAAATTGATCTAAAATATCACTTTTTAGATTAATTCTTGCATGATTAATATAAAATTAATTTAAAATATAAGATTGAGAGATATATGTTAGTGAAATAACATAAATTAAAAATAACAAATACAAATCTTTATTTACATTATTGAGTATCTGCTTATATTTTTGGGTGAGTCATTGACAAACACTAATCTTAGTTCAATTTAATGAATCTTATTTTATTTTGTATTTTTTCTTATTAATCCATTTATTTTAGTACATAACATCGATAAATATTATTTTTTTTTAATTTATAGTCTAATGTGGTAACCTTCCATTACAGTCTCAGATAAGTTGTTTATTTTTTATTTTTTACGTCTTTTTAATTTGTTTACTAATATCCTGCAATCATAGTCTTTATATTTTTCTTCTCAATTGCTTGATTACTTAGCTTTAACTTCTAAAATTACTGGAGGAACGTACGCAACATGCTCATCTTGAGCGACGAAAAATACTTTAGAAATTTGTTGTTTTTATAATCAATATAAAATATTATACTTACTGTATTAAAAGTATTTATGGTTTTTGGCCAATCTAAAATATCATTTTTAACTGACATTAAAAGTGATTTTTGTCCAAGTACTTTAACAATCAAACAAGTCAAGAAAGAAGGTAAAGTGAATAATTAAAGTGATAAGATCTTTGTAATTATTTCACTAGTGAAAAAAAGACTTTTTACATCAGTTATGTATTTGATGTAGATATAGGTGATGACTTTTTATATCGGTCGTTAAAAATTAATATAAAAAGTGTCACTTTTTACATAAGTTGTTTATAATAACCGATGTAAAAAATATTCTTAATGTTTATCTTTGTCAATGACATCATTATTTCTCTTCTCTGATATTATCAATATATTTTTTTTAAGTTAAATTAAAATTGATAAACGTTAATATTTATGGTGTTTGTCGTATTCTTTATATTCATCGTGTTTTTTATGTTCGTTGTGTTTGTCGTATTGATTATGTTTATTGTGTTCATCATGTTTCATTATTGTTCATCTTTGTCTGAATCTGAAACATAAAGAAGATGCAATATTTATCAAATCGTTTAATAAGGAAGAAAAAAAAAAGAGTAAAACAACAAAAAAAAAATGAAAGAAATTAAAATAATTGGTATACCTGAAAAACCTTTAGATGTTCGTTGTCCACCTAACTAATAGAACAAAAGTTTCAGAAACTTAAGAAAAATCTGTGTTCGAGTCTTCAATTTATGCTATTTCGCTGGCGTGTATTTAAAAATTTGAAATTTGAATTGATTCTACATTGGTTCTCAGAAACAACCGATGTAGAATGTACATTTTACATCGCTTGTAAAAACAATAGATGTAGAAAAGTTTGCATAAATTTTAAAAATGCCATTACATTATTTTTTACATAGGTTATTTTTACAACCGATATAGAAAATACTTTTCACATCAGTTCTCTCGACAACCGATATAAAAAAGTTTGTAAAAATTTTAAAAATATCACTACATCTTTTTCTATCTCGTTTCTCAAAAAAATTAATGTACAATCTTGTTGTAAAAAGTATTTTTTATACTAGTGTTTCTTAACCAATAGAAAACAAAAATAAAAAACTCAACATCTCTATTGGTGAGTGAATTTGTGATCAATAGAAAAAAATAACATTCGTGACCAAATTCGTAACAAACTCTTTTACAATATTTAGCAACCAAATTGATAACCACAAATTCAGTCACAAAATTTGGTTGCCAAAAATATAATTGCAACAACCATTAAAGATAAAAAAAAATTATGAATTACCACCAATAAATTCAGCTGCTAATGAATTTTTTTCTAATTGTAATTTTTTTAATTTTCTCTCAAACCTAATTCACAATTTAAAATTTTATATTTTTTTAATATAAATATCTGATGTTTCTTTTAGTAAAACATAAACTTAAATATATTTTTTATTTATACATTTTCATAAATTTTTAATTTTAGTCCTTAAATCTTATTTTTAGCAGATAAAAAATTTAAATGGACAAACTCAATATTATGTTTTCTAGTTATGTATAGTTACAGACTTACAGAAGCTAAACTGTGTGCACAAATAAGGTTTTACGAATTAAAACAAGGCATTAAAGGGAATTTGAACACTAATAATTGCAAGTAAAATTATGTCACTAGTCGACTTTATATTGCTGGCTTTTCAGTATACTTTGACCAAGTAAAAAATATGAGAACAAAATGACGAAAGATAAAGTAACGATGCAAATTAAATAACGTCAACATGGCAAAAATAATAATTATTATAATAAAGTAACTCCGTAAAGCCCATAGAGAGCTGCAGCCAAGTGTGTTCTCTAGCAAATGGTTTCTAACTTTATGGCCAATAGAAATTCTGGAAAGTATTACATTAGTTTAAATAGATTAACCAGGCTGATTAAGATTCGATTTTGTTGTTATATACACATGTAAATGACTTTATTAAAATAGTTATAAAAAAATTTAAAATCAAAATTTATATACAATATATACATATAAAACAATATACTTAGTACACACTAAAAATAGCGTTAGAACTTTATCAATTATTTTGGCAGGGCAAAGTCGTTAGTCTATTTGTGTATATTAGAGAATCTTGTTAACTATTAATAAATTATTTCTTGAACAATATCCTAAAACTATTAGGTAGCATTTTCCTATATTATAATTCAATTTATTATATATAAATAATCAAATATATAAAAATTATATATACATGTTAATAAAAAAAGTTGGGGGAACCAAGTTCCGCCCAACCAAAAAGTTATATTATTTACTATTTAAGAGTGGATAATAAATATATATTATTTGGATTGTGTTGAACATTTATTAATTAAACTTAGCGTAAGTATTTATTTAATAATTTTTTAACAGGAAGGCTTGTGCTATAAATTTGACCACAAAATTATTAGTAATAATTTGAAAAAAAAATAATTAAATATATTAATAAGTTTATCAATATAAGTTAAAAAGAATTCACAAGAATTGAAAACTATTTTTATAAAATTTCTGAAAACTCTTTCAAACGCTGCTGTTATATACTCACACTCCTTTAAATATATCTATATTCTTTTCTCTCTCCAAATAATACAACAAATATATAGAGAGATAAAAAAGGTGACACCAAAGGGGTAATGCGAGGCTCATGGTAAATAGAATCGTAGTGAATGCAAAACTTCCGGTGGATAATACAGTTGCATGGCCCCACGCAGTGGCAAGTGTCATCCATGGAGTTTTTGAGTTTCGGGGTCCGCAAGCACACGCACTACCCATTCACCACTTGTAACAGTTATCACCAAGCCACACCCACTTTACTCCTCGTTTGTTTCCCTCAACTTATATATTCTTCATTCTTTCCTTCCCTACTTGACGAGTCTCTATTAATGTCTTGGTTTTATTTAAAGTCTACTCTTTCATCAACTGAATATATTCTTGTCCTTCCAATTCATCTCACACCACTCGTTTACACAAAAGCTCTAGAAACAGAACCGAAAGATTAATAGTATATAAAAAAACCAAGGCATTGATTCCCTTGTTTGAGTTGAAGTTATGTCCTTGTTTTCAAAATGATGCTACTTATATAAGACTCAACAACATAAATTCTATGGTCTTTATTCTACTTAGCATTTCTTTTCCTCTTCCTTCTTGCTTTGTTGTGACTTGTTCTTTTCTTCCTTATGTTTGAGGATTGATATCAAGGTCAGAGGCAAAGTAATGGAACGTGGGATTCTTGATGGTATCATCAATAGGCTGCTTCAAGTGAGAGGGAGACCAGGGAAACAGGTGCAGCTTTCAGAGGCAGAAATTAGGCAACTTTGTATGGTGTCTAGAGACGTCTTCTTGAAGCAGCCCAATTTGTTGGAACTTGAGGCTCCAATTAAGATATGTGGTATCGATTAGCCAACCCCATTTTTTAAGAATCGTTTGTTAGTTTCTCAGTCAATTTAAGTATATGGCCATGGCATGTGTTTGTATGTAGTTTTGACTTTGTTTTTTACAGCAAACTTTTACTTTCATGCAACATAATATGGTCCAAGGTTGCTTTAATTTATTGCCAATTGGAACAACAATTAAAATAGCAACCACCAATCTAGTAAAATGAACGACGCATAGATCAATGAATAACTCTTATGAGAAATGAAAATTTCACTATATTACATTTGATTTTACATTTATTGAGCATGAATCCATTTATTTTTAACACTGCTAGTTGTGATTCCTGTGTTAGATTCACATTAATGACACTTTAAAGTGAACCCAAACACAAACCATAATTATTTATATTAAAGTTACTTTTAATGGTTTCTCCTTATAAACTTTTTTTTTTTAATTTTGTTTGAATGTTAGGAGGGTATTTATTTTTATGAAATAGAGATCAAAGTGAAACCTTTGGAATCTTGCACACCCCCTCCCCCATTTCATAGCTCTGCCAAATATTTCTGTATAACTGACTAAACTTGATTATTGGATGTTGCATTGACTGAAAAATATCATGCTAATTCAAATTAGAATACTTAGTGTGATCTTGGGTTTAGTCTTTAGTTTATGTGTACAGGAAAAAAAAACACAATTGGGGAGGACTCCTTTTTTTAGCGCCTCACCATACTTAGCAGATTAATCCATTACCTATTGCTATTGGGTGGGAGGAAACTAGAGCGATGTATTTAATGAGAACAAGTATAATAATAACACAAACAAAAATTGACTGTATAATTATATATGGATAATTAAAATTAAAGTCACATAACTTCTTATAAAAGTTGCATAAATTTTTAATTTTCTATTTTTCTTAAGTTTTAATATTGATCATTAATTATAACATGGGACTTAGTTATATTCTTTAAAATGCATTATAAATTTTATTTTGGGAACGTTGATTTGTCTTTTCTTGGTCGAGATTGTTGTACAAGTTTTAAATCATCCACTTTAACTTAAAATTATTCTCATTCTCAATTCAACTTTATATTTTTTTCGAAATTTAATCTCTATACCAACTACCCAGCAATATAAAAATTCAATTGTCTTCACGGTGGCTATAATCAAGCAAAATTTCAGAAAAGAAGTCTTGAAGAGTCACACAAAGTGAAGTACAGTAATAAATGTTGTCCATTTAGGTATGAAATTTTCTCTTCTACGTTGTTGGCGAATTAAATGTATTGTAGATTTTCAATGGTAAACAATCAAACATGAAATTTTACCTTTGAAATTCAAGTACGTCGGTTCACTTTGATTGAGACTTGTTGGTATATTTTTACAATATTTGAGCTGAATGAGGGGTTATTTTAGTCAATGAGTCCTTGAATTGGGAAACCAAATACTGTTGTATACATGAATTTAATTTCTTTTTTAACATGTGTGTTCAATGTGGAATGATATCTCTGTTGCTGATGTTTACATCAAAGAAACCTTTGCAACCCATAAAGTTCTTGTCTTCCAGAGGAACATGTGCAGTTTATTAGGAAACCTAAGGAAAAGCATTCGTGTTCACTGAATGTGCTCTATGAATAAAGAAAATAAGGGATTTCCAATATCGATATATTCGGTAAAGGTTTTGAAAGCAAATCACCTACAAGTCTAACTTCATCTCCTACTCCTTAAACAGAGATTGCTCTGTTTCTCTCTCTCTTGCAGAATATTATGCTTATATGTAGTTACAGTTATTGTCATATTTAGTACTAATTCTCTTACTAAGTTTGTGGACTTCGTTTGCACCATTTCTCCTTGTTTGGTTCTTCCCTTGTGCTTCAACTCATATGCTGCAAGTTTAATGAATGATTCGTATCTTTTATCTAGGAAAGATGACGGATTTATTTTGAGGATGGCATCTCATTGAACAGTTAATCCAATTTAGTCCACTGTGATTATATAGCTTCATCAGAGTCTAAAGTTGAACTTCCTTGTGGAATTGTGACATGCATTGCACATAACAAAATGTCTCATGTGACAACATATCTCACATTAATGTAGGGATTAAGCTAGAGTTATATGCCTTTTTGCAAGTTTTAAACTTCATGGCTGAAGCCCTTCCCATTTTCTCTCCTCATTATGTCAACACCAAACATTTACTAACTGAAGGTACTGAATGTATTTGTCTAATAATTGATTAATTAAGTCTTAGCTAGTAAAAATTACAAATCACTTATTTTAAATTATTAGAATTTAAAGCATGAAATTATGAGACATGAACAAACAGGACAACCATATTCTATTTCTCTTTTTCCTCTTGACATATAATAACTATATTCTATTATTGTGGTCATTTTACTATGATGTATATGTATGTGCATACTCTCATTCTAATATAATGCAGGAACTAAAATCTTGGTTTATTTCACTATGTTACCAGGAGACATCCATGGTCAATATTCCGATCTTCTAAGACTTTTTGAGCATGGTGGATTTCCTCCTCGCTCCAACTACCTATTCTTGGGAGATTATGTGGACCGTGGCAAGCAAAGTCTTGAGACAATATGTCTTCTTTTGGCTTACAAGATAAAATACCCTGAAAACTTTTTCCTTCTTAGAGGCAACCACGAATGCGCATCGATAAATCGTGTCTATGGATTTTATGATGAGTGTAAAAGGAGATTCAATGTGAGGATATGGAAAATATTTGCAGATTGCTTCAACTGCATGCCAGTGGCAGCTATCATTGATGAAAAGATATTTTGTATGCATGGTGGACTCTCTCCTGAATTGCACAAACTAAGTCAGATTAGTAGTTTGCCGCGGCCAACGGAAGTTCCTGAAAGTGGTCTACTATGTGATCTTTTGTGGTCTGATCCTTGTAGAGACATTGATGGTTGGGGTGAGAGTGAGCGTGGAGTTTCATATACATTTGGTGCTAGCAGGGTGACTGAGTTTCTTGAAAAGCATGATCTTGACTTGATTTGCAGAGCACACCAGGTTTCACATGCCTTTATAAAGCTTAAGGGCTTGTTGGAAAGAGTTTATGAACAGCTTATGGAAACAGCTTATGACTTCCATAAACTGTTATTAACTTATTTCAATAAGCTTCTTGGTATAGCTTATCAAAACAAATTGTTTTCAGCTAATCCCAATAAGTTTCATCATTAAATTTATAGCATAAATCTTTGTTTAAAAGAACTTATTGAATAAGAGTTTAAATAAGTTTTGTATCCCACTGCACCCTAATTACGCAAATTTGACAAGAGTTTAAGTATAGTATTATTACCTGCTAATATGTATTTCTTTTTTGTAGGTTGTTGAAGATGGATATGAATTTTTTGCTAATAGGCAACTTGTGACTATCTTTTCTGCTCCTAACTACTGTGGAGAATTTGACAATGCTGGAGCAATGATGACAGTTGATGAGACTCTTATGTGCTCTTTTCAAATATTAAGGCCTGAGGATCGTAGAAAGCCTAAGTCTGGTTTTGGCAGCAAAGCTACATTCAAGGCTAGTACTCTAACAGTAAACTTAGTATTTTAGTTCTTGGAACAAGAATTTGCACATTTTCAGTAATGGATTATTAAAATAATGTTTTGGTAGTTTCTTCATGTTATTAATAATTGCACAAGTTATATTACTGACTGGCATAACTATTTTAGGAAATTTTATTGGCACACAATTTGCAGTAGGGGAATGGTGGAATGATTTGTGTATAATCAGTCTTAAATGATTTATGCTGTAAATGAGAAGTGGATCATATTTACTCAATTTTGCAAACTAGAAACAGTTTTTGAAATTAAAGATTATGTAAAGATTAAAAAACTTATTGTACATGACATGCACTCATATATATAATAAATGTATATTATAGTAAAACTTAAAACTGCATTCTTAAGTTTCTATATGCAAATGGCCAAAATAGACAAGGTTTAAGATAAATTTTATTCCTTACAGTTTTATTGGTTTAGATTTTTGTTGTATAATTTATTATTTTTTGCCATACACTCTTAATGTTTCATACAACTAAAGTCTTACTATTTGAAATACCACCACCTTTATAAATTCAAAAAAATGTTAACATTGACTCTTAAAATTAATGATAAGCAAGTAATAATAGTAAAATTTTATTAAAAAAAACTATTTATTATACTTTTATAATTTTAAGATAATAAATATATTTTGACTTAATTATATCTTTGACTTCTATAAATATTAGACATTTTGTTATAAATCCTTATAAAAAAAATTTTAGAATTTAATTCTTAAAAAGTTATGAATTTAGGATTTAATCACTACGTTAATTCACTTATGGTAAATTTTGAGTGTCAATTTAGGATTCTTACATGATATGTCACGTAATATTATTTTTTATTTTTTATTATTTAAAATTATATAATTACAAACAAGTTTTTGACCATATTTTTAATATTTGCAACTGTTGTTGCTGCATACTCTACCCCTTTCTCTTTCTCTTTCCCTTCCCCACACACTCCTCTCCACCCTCCCCTTGGGTATGTGAGGTCCCCCATTACACTGAAAATTACTTAACCAATATAGATGAGAAACAAAAATAACAGGCTCAATATATTGCATTAGTCTGCAACCATGCACCACTATCCGTGTGATTATAGGTGGGTAGATAACTATAACAATAGCAGCAACTGTAGTGCAAGAAAATATAGTTAATAAGGCCACCAAGTATAATCATGGTAAGATCAAGACAAGACGATGAACTTATGTAGCAGCAAGATCAAGTGGCTACCTTTGCATTTATCCAACACCAAGAAGTACGAGCTTAATCTTCTGAATAAAATCTGCTATTTCACCAAAATATGCTCTCTTTCCTTGCCCACCAAATAGCCCGTAGTTTAGTATCCCAAACAACTAGTCAAACTGCTATGATTTCCTTCTTGCGATTTTGAAGATCAAAGAATTGTAGTATTCCACTTTTAACTAACTCCGATTACGATGAGATTCTAGTATATGCTACCTCTCAAACTAAAGATAGAGCACTCTTTTTACATGTGCACGTGATGTGTGGATGTGGGGAAGGGGAAAGCGAGGTGCCGGTGAGAGTGTGGAAAAGGGGGGGGTTGTGAAGTGGTGATAGGTTAGAGTGTAAGGTTAAGACAAGGTGGTATTGAAAGGAAGAAAGTGGAAAACGGAGTGAGTGAGAGTGTGGATCTATTATGAGAGTGCGGGATGGAGTTGTTGGAGTTGGGGCTGGGGAAAAGGGTAAGTACCGGGAGGAGTGTGAAGTTGGTGTCGGGGTTGGGTTGAACAGTAGAGGAGGGAGAAAGACCAAGATGGGTGGGGTGAGGTGAAGAGTATAGGAAAGAAAAAAAATAGAGAAGAAGAAAGATTAAATTGTAAATATATAAAATTTAATATTAGAGATTTATTTATAATTATATAATTTTAAATAACAAAAAAATTATATTATATGGTATGCTACTTATGTTATATATGAGAATTTCTGTCATCTAACTCAACATTTAATTAAATAGAGTTGATGATTAGATTATATCTTAACTTCATAATTTTTTAACACTAAATCTTAATAAAAAAAATTTATAAGAATTTATTATAAAATATTTAATATTTATAAGAATAAAAAGTATAATTAAGCTATATATTTTTTAAAAAAAATATTTATTGATGCTTAAATTATAAGTATCAATTCAACGTAAAAAAAAGTATGGTCCATTTGCTTGGGACGAAAAGAAATCATGGTAATTCACTCGTTCTATAATCCTTAATTGTGCAGTGCAACTATAAAATTATTCCAGGTAAGACCAAATTTATTACAACAGTAATGTTATTTGCACATTATTGTCAATATACCATTCTGCCTCACTTTTTCTGTCGGGAAAAGAACAAGATAAATAACACATTCCAACACACCATTTTTATTTTCGTAATAAGAGAAGTGTAATGTGGCTTTGTTGAAATTAGTGTATTTGTGATTCCATTTTAGCTATCCATTATATAGAAGGCATCTTAAATTGTAATTTGTGAAAATATAGCTGCAAGAGTGAATGAGGAAAAATCATGGATCCTTTTCTTGTTTGAATTACTGATATATCTAGTTTAATGCCATCAAATTTCTTTATTAATTATTTTCAAGCAGGCAATTTTCGATGCTGCTAGAGTATGACCCCATTGAGTTGAACTTAGATCAATAAGGTTTGTAACATCTAAAATGGACTTGGAGATATCCGTGTTTACTTCAATGTGAATGAAGAATACAACTAGCAACATTACTTACAAGCTATGAAGAACATTGGAGAATTATCTCTGCTTTTCCTTTTTAAGTATAGCTAAATGCGTTCTTCTGTGTTGGCGCATTCTTAACGTGTACTATGCTGCCAACACAAATTGAGGGGTCAGGTTTCACTTTTCTTTTCTTTCAGCTTTTTGACGTGAGGGACACTTCTCTGATATCCCCTATTGCATTATCAATTAAAATTAATATTTTATCTTAGAAATGGGTTACAACTTATAATACCCATGGTTATTATGTTAGTTATTGAGATAAAATTTTAATTATAATTTTAAAGGAATAAATCTATGTTTTGTTTATAAAACAAATAATTCACCATAATTACACTTAAAAGAAGCATGTGAAAATTTAGCTAGAGTTTTGCCTATAAGATGAAGTAATAAAAATAATTACTTTCACATTTGAAAATCTAAACACAATTTATCTTCTCTCCTTTTGATTTCTCATAATGGATAAATGTAGAAAAAAAAATTGTCCAACTCTTAAACATCATTTTCTTACAATAATTTTCATAACTACATTAAGTTATAAAGTTACTATTTAAAATTAGTAAATAATCCTTTGTAACATGTCTTAAATTACCTTAAGTTTTTCTTTAACTCATTTTGATTAGTTTAATTTTGGTCTTTATACATAATACATTTTTTTCATTATTATCTCAATAGGTAAACACTTTTATTTTAGTCTCTATAATTTGAATTTTTTTGCATAAAAGGATAAAAAAAAATGTGTTATACATAGTGACACCAATGAAAACATATGTTATGTATTGGGATCAAAATGAAAACTTGTTTAAATATAAGATAACAATATATAATAAAAGTTAACGATAGTTATTATTTAAAAAAAAATATTTAGCACTCATTTACAAACCATATCAAAAGAATAAACTTCCTATAGAATCTAAAATAGTATTCAAACCTATTTTAAAACATTTTTTGATCGAAGGTCACAGTCTTTCTCATCACCTTTCTCTTTAGTGCATATGACTTTATAGACTTGTGTTACATTTTCTAAAATATTTGAATCTTGATGTTTTTATTTGAATTGTTCTAATTTTTCTCATTTTTTTATATTATAAACCTTGATGAATTTGTGATACTCACGACCAAAAAATACGGAAGATGGTATTTTTTAAAAAAATAAATATTTGAATTTAATGGATTCAAGATTTTAAATTTGAATCATGTTATCTACATAAACTCGTTCAATGTTAAAGTCTAGGTTTATAAATTTTCTAAATCGAGTGGTGTCAGCTTTATCTTTAACAAAAATTTTATGCTTTAGAAAAGGGTATAATTTGTCTTACCATGCTTGTAAGCTTGCTTTAGTCTATAATGAGCCATTTTAAATAAATTTAGTAAGTCATAATAATTTTTTTCAAATAAAATATTTCTTCTGTTTTTGCTAGTGTCAATTTTTTTTTATTTTAATTGAAATTAAATTTCAATTTACAAATATAACTTCCTTTTCTTTTTTCTTTTTTCTTTTTTAATTGCAATCAAATCTCAATTTACAAATACCTCCTCCTTTTTGCAATCCAAAGCATGACCAAAGCATAATTAATGAAATATTTATTCTAGTTACTCAACTTATACACATTACATTTATAGTACTAATTTAAAATTTATTTATTTGATTTAATTCAATTTTCTAATTTAATTTTTAAATAATATTTTTTAAAAAACAAATATTAGAACATTTATTGGAATATGACATCATAGATTTAATACCAAGTCAATAAAAATTTAATCAAATTAATTTACTAATTAAAATTGGCGTCTAATAACATTTCTTAAAATCTAAATAGTATGAAGTAATATCTCTCACCTTCAAGAACATTATAAGAATAATAAATATTTTCTTCCATCTACAGAGCTTTGATTAACTTCAGATCATGGTATTATTGTCAAACTCTAATAAGTCAACATATGATGAATGATTTAAGAAACCCATTTCTTCATTCATTAAATTTTCTTAATCAAGGTATTTAATTTTATAAAATGCTCAAACTCATTTTGAAGAGTTCATGAATTCACTAAAAGAAAAACGTGAAATATCGATAATACTACTCATAAATTTTTGGTGGTTACAATTTGTACTGACCAATGGCTGTCGTTGGTATTTTGGTTGTCATAGAGAATATTAACAACGGTAAACAAAACTCATTGTTATAGACCGTCGTACCGACAGGAATAAAAATAAAGATTAGTTGGTACAAATAGATTATAGATGTAATCAAGATCGTTAGATGCATAATATTAACGAGTTATTAAAAATAACAATAAATTTATTGATGGGTACGTTAATTTTTTAAAATTAATTAAGATGAAATTTAATAAATTATTGACTATTGTACCTATCATTAATATT